AAAGCAGTTTCCTCTGCTAATATAAAATGGAATCTCCATCAAAGAAAAGTCTGGCTCCGTAAACCTGACTCCACATAGGCATATTTCTATATTTTAATGATGTTCATAGTTGGGATTCACACGTAATACCGATTCATTTAGCTATAAATACAGCTATCATTTCTACAGTGCTCTCATACTTCAGTGCTTTGCAAAATCATGCTGATACAAAAACCTAGTAGAGACCAATTTTTCTGTAAAGTTAACATGACTGCCGTGAGTTTGAGAAAGCATCTTTTAACAGAACTAAAACCAATACTTAATTGTGTAAGCAGAGGAATGAGAAGGAACTTTCCCTCCTAAGAAATGAGTTCTGAATTTTGAACCAACATTTGTACCAATATTTCATTAAATTTTATTCTCCACTGCACAGAACTTCTATTTCCCCTTGTTTTCCAATCAACCTTTCCTTCAGGATTAAAAGCCTTACCCAGATGGGAATTCCTCAGACAGGTCTTCCTCAGCTAAATCTCCTCCTTCTAGGAATCAACGTGAAGAGGAAGGAAAACACTTTCAGACATTTAGGAAGTTGCATTTTCAGGGAATGGATACTTCCTTGAAACTGAAGTCTGATAATTAAATCTTATCACTTTGTGCACTTTTCTGATGCAATAATTGAATTTTTGAAGGCATGTGGATATATAGTCCCCACAGTGAGTCAAATGTTAGGTTCACATCTTCTGCAACAGCTGCTGTTTTAAGGAATGCTCACCGTGAACAAGAATTTATACAAATACGATTTTTTTCATTTGTTTCATGTAGAAACTTCAATAAGAAGTCTGAACCGTATTAGTTCAAATGTAAAATACACTCACTCTATATTCCTTACAGTAAAAATAAGGTCATGCAAATAAGTAATTTTCTTTAATGACATCTGCTTCTCCAGAGACACTTATGGTACTACAGAGAAATTTAAAATACAATTAAAATATCATATTTAAAACAACAGATATAGAAAAATTTACACAAAATAAAAAACTGATTCATAAAAGAAACATACGCATATAAATCAAAGGTAGCATAAAACTTTTAGCTGCATGTTGTCATGACTAACATAAGTTGCAGATTTTTAAAAGGGAAAGTAGTACTCTGGGCAGTAGTATACTCAATAAAGTTATCTTTTTTTATAGATGTACAGAAGATCACTTAAAAGAGAACCACATTTATCTTAACTGTAATGTTAAGATTAGACAAAAGTACTGTGCTATTTTGAAGTGAACTCTGTTAGGATAATCTAAGACTATTGTCCAGCCTCTGAAGAGACAGAAACATGATCCTAAAATGACAAATAGGACCCAAATAATTCTTAGTAATGCTGATGTCTGCAATGAGGTTCCACAAAAGCAAAAATACACTAATAAATTTAAGTTGTATACCAAACTCATAGTTTTTTCTCTAAAGAGAACTACAGTCATATTGCTTTGCAATGAGTAATACCACTCAAACAGGCAAAAGAGAACCACAGAAAAAACCTCAGTGTCTATTTTATCCTTCTGCCTCAAGGCACGACCAAGTCTTCGTCAACTATTCCTGAGAAATGTTTGTCAAGTATATTTTTAAAAATCATGCAGGAGTAGATTCTACAAAATCTCTATATATCCTATTCCAGCAGTTCACTATTTTTAGAAATTTGCAGAATTTCCTGGTATTGACATAACCTTTTGCTGATGCAGTTTAAATCTGCTACAAGTCATCTTGTCCCTAAAATGAAAGAATGGCAATTGATTGTGTTCCTCTTTGCCGTACACATAATTTTACAAGAGAGAATTCTACTTCTTTCCTGTCTGTCTTCCCCTGGCTATACTAAGAAGGTTAATTCTTTTCAATCCTCCCTTATGGAATGAACAAGGTCTATCAGGAATGCTTAAAAGAATTTGGTTTTGGTTTTCCGCAATTTCAATTGCACCTCTTATTTTCTTCCATCTCTCTGAGGCTTTTTAACCAGGTTTTTCTGAACCACGTGTGTTCACTGTTAGGCACAGTTCTTCAGCTGGGCTCTCATCAAAGCTGAAGAGAGCAGAAAGGTTGTTCCATATGATTTTCAGGCTTTATTTCCAGTACTAGGCTTAAACATCCTGGTGTGATGTTTCATGTCCTATAGAACTGATAACTTCTGCTTAATCTGTGGCCAGAGTGGTCACAACTGCAGTTGGCAGTTGGACCTACTGCTTAGGTAGAGACTCCCATCTTGTATATGCCTAACCAGTAACTCCTCTCTAAGTACTGTATCTATTCTCTGTTGAATTCCATATTCCACAAAAAGTAACTGGCAAATGATGCACAGAACTTTATTACTCTCTTAAAGATTCAAATAGCCTGATGAGAATGACGGCCAGAGGCCGAAGATACTGAGGGTTGAAGGCAAATCCATATTCCTATATGTCTGGCACCTATTGATTTAGATCATATCTCTTCTGTCGCTTGAATATCACAATCTACAACACTATCAAATGAATCTGAAAGTTAGGATGCATGAAATCTTTTGCTTATTCCTTACTCCATTGAGCTGCCACAGCAAAAAATCACTTAGTTTGTTCTTAAACACCTATCTCTTTGTATTCTGTTATTCTCTAGGTGTTCAGAAATTTATAGATTCATCATTTGTTTAGTATTTCTCTTGGAATTCAAGATAGGTTGACTGTCACATAATTCCTTGGCTCAACCATTTCCTGCCTTTTTAAAAAGCAACATTAAATATTCCTGGCTGCTGGCATCCCACCTAAGCTCTGCAAACTATCAGAGGTAATCACTAATACTTCTGAGACTGCTTCAGCATCTCAAAAATTTTGAAAGACCCTACTATTAAAAAAGAAAAAGTGAATTGGGTATCATTCACGTATGAGTACATAGCAGAGCGTTATTCACATCCTTGAAACAGTTGGATTTTTGCTATTTAACTCAGGTAGCAGACGCCTACTATCTATCACTCCTCCATCTTTCAGCTGACAATGAATAGTTCACATTGACATGTGAATGACGTGACATGTAATAACAAAGAATACAAGATAGCAGACTATGGAGGCCAAGTTTTAAGCAAATTTAATACTAGTGAGGTCTACTCAATCTTCAACGTTTCATTAAAACTTCCCAGCTGAATGACCTCTTATGCATTAAGAACGTGAATTTTGTTCCACAAACACATCTGAACTAAGAGCTCTCTTGGGGCATAAGTTCATTTCACTCTGGTCACCAAATCAGAGCTATGGAAAGACAAAGCTGTCAGCACTAACTGTTTAGCTGTACAGTAACCAATGCACATACAAAATCACAGCAATTCAGTTAAATATGTAATAGTCAAAGCCTACATTAAAAAAATTGTCCAAGTGGGCAACACATACTGCCTAGCCTTTGCACAGTGAAAATGGTACTGTTTGACTCCTATCACCTTCTTGTTACCTAACACACAAAACTCCACAAATCCACTGAATCTTCTGCCCTACTCCTAGTGTGTGTTTCTGCAAAAATCCAATGTTAAAACTTCTTCACTTATTTTCTGTATGTTTTTGATATATCTTCCACTACTTCACCTCATCTCCTCAAATAATTTGGCCTAAAAGTACTTTCCCTAAAATTCAGATCTTCTTTATTTTCAAAAGCGTACATGCATCATAACAGAACAAAACTAAACCTATTCAGTAAAATGCACATAGTTCTTCTCAAACTGATGCTGTCCTCAGGAGCAAATTTTTCACCTAGAAGTTTGTCAAAGACATATCCCAGTCAAGTCACGCTTTAATCTTCTCCCCAACACTTTCCTTTTGGTATCATATTATCCAATTCCCCCTTTATTGCCACACAGTGAACATAAATGAGTCAAGTCAGTCAGTATCTCACTATTTTTGTTCTTTCCTTTCACCTACCACTGTGCTATCTGAATGTCCTCTTCACTTCAAGAACATTTGTAAAATAACCTTAAAACCCCAGAACAATTTTAGAATCCTTTATACAACACAGCATTGACAAATTCTAAGACTGAATTTTCTTTTGCTATTTACCTGTGACTTTTGATTTTGAAAAATGAACTATAGTCTCCAAATTTCCCCTCAAATGTGTAACTGTTACATTGCAGTTAACATCAGACTCCAAGGCAATCTTCTAAATTTTTCAGTGTTTTTAACAAAAGCATGTGATTCAGTCCTACTGCTATCATACATCATATTTCATGAATAAGAATGTTCTCCTTAGAATTCCCATACCAGCACTTCATGGCTGGACCTCCCCTGAAAATTAACAAAGCTTTTTGATAGAGCAGCAGGGCTTTCTAACCCTGTTTGTTTAACCAGTAATTAGATTCTGAGTTAATGGCAACCTGTCACTTGCCAGAACAGACTTGTGCTTTTAAACCTCGACCTTCCCTTGATTCTAGAACAGTAGTCACAAAAGTAGTTCAGGACATCCTGAAACTCACGATTCTCTGATAAGGAAGCTACAGCAAGGTTTTCTGGGTAACAACGAAAGATGAAAATTGGATTTTACCTGGTAAGAATGCCTTTCCTACTAAAATGAGAACATGTTGCAGAGAGAGAAATTGATTCAATAAATATTTTAATAGTTATTCACTGGGAGAACACAGGACTAATCATTATAAATGGACCATATTTTTGTAATGAGCTGTTCTAAACTGCTTTTTTCTTTTTGTTTTCCCAGCTTAGGTAATATGTGGATTAAAAATACAAGTTCCTCTTCTTTTTCCTTAACTCTTAGCATTTGCAGGTAACTTTCATAATTGCAAGAAACTGTTTGACAAAGCTATATTCTATTAGCCAAGCCTGAGTGTATACACCTAATCCAAGTTTGTCTATCAAAATGCTATTACATTTTACATTGAAATCTAATTGTATTTTACAAACAATTTTTCCCCAGCAAGTGTGTGTTCATAAGAAATACACAGGCTGCATTCAACATGCAATCATGCATGTGCTTTTTTTTTTTCAGATAACTAAGCAACATGTGAAACTTACGGCTGTCCAGGCTTCTTTTCTGCATCGAGAACACAACCATTCATTACCGATTTCATGAGAAGGAACACCATAGCAACCTAGAATGAGAGAGGTGGACTGATTAATATATTCTGTCTCTCTATGATCTCATACAATTCAGCTGTGTAGTAACTAGTAAAACACATCTCCTGTAACCAAGGAGAATTTCCAAATCAAGATTTATTGCTAATTTCATAGTCTATGAAATACATAAAATAGACATACAGACACTCTTCACAAAACTCAAAAAGCCCCACAAAACCAAACCAAAAATCAAAACAAACAAAACCTCCAAACATCCAAAAGACCAGACCCCAGGGAATTTCTTATTTCCTGTCAGTTCAATAGCAAATCACCAATTCTCCCTGCAGTAAAAATGTACTGACTTTTATTCTATGCAATTATACTGCACTTCCATGTAAGAATTTCACATGGACTTCTCAGAGTTAACTATTCAAGTCCTACTGTCCCTAGAAGATACTGCAGAAAATCCATGCATTCATCAGTCACTCTTGAAATAAAACAGAATGCAAGGTACAGGAAATGACTGCATATCTAAAGGCAGCAATATTCACAAGTTCTCAGATCCAGCAGGACTCCACCCTGACAACTTAATAAGGATATACTAACATCACACAGTGGTTCAAAATACGAGAAGTAAAAGAGGAATTTAATAGCTCAAAACTGAAACAAGAATCAGAAGTTTGTGATTACCGAAAGTTTACAGAAAAGTTAATTATTCACTATTTTCACAGCAATGATTAACAAGTAATACAAAACATAACATAGCTTTTAAAAAAATTTAGCCAGTGATTGAAGCATTATATATGGAAATGTTTTTCAAGTACTTTTAAAGACATACTAGAAGCCTAGTTAACTTATTTATCAGCAAAACAAAATTCAAAATTACATTTCTGCCAAACAAACAATTAGTTTATTTACTTGCATGAACCCGTATACAACACTTTGCACAGGAAATCAGAAGACTTGTTCCATTTTCTTCGATAAAGGCATTTGATGGATAGTTTTCAGTGTTTTCTTCACTATAAATAAAACACATCTCTGGAAGGAGAGGTTTAGTCTTTTCATTTTCAGCCATCAATGTTTCTGCTGAGTTTGCTTCCCTGAAAGTAGGACTTTCTTCATCATGATTGTCTGGCTGTAAAATGAACAAAATTTATATTTAAGTAAAAGCAAGAAGAGTCTTACTTACTCTTTCTTTTGACAATGATGAAGTGACTTCTCCCCTCCCAGCTCTTGCACTAAGAACATTACAGCTTTACAAGAAAATAAAGTGCTTCTAGGTATTTGTCACAGTCATTCTATAGTTCCTTGATTGCTCTAATAACTGTGAAATCTAGAATAGCACTCAGCCTGCAAACTAGTGTTACTGCAGTAGTGTTCAGTGATACTGTACCTCTGTCTCTCTATGAGCCCTTTAACCGGGTCCAGTTCAATAAAAGTTTTCTTTCTAGTTCCCATGCTGAGCGGATTCCAGTTTAGCTTCAGAATTAGTACCATAGTACTACAGCAGCATTTTTTGCTGACATTTGACACAGGAATTCCACAAGCCAGTATCAAACAGTGCTCTGCATTAGGCTGTCTCTATGCGAAAAATATTCCTGAGAAGGCCTAAGCCCTGTGAAAACACTTACTTCTTCAACCCTGCATGAAGGACACAGAGAAGACGCCCTGATAAAAAACATCTGAAGATGGACATAAGGAAATAGCTAAAAAATAAAAACCTATGTGGGTTCCCCGTCTCAAAAAGTGTAACTTCAAGGGCATGCACACATACACTAACATCAATCCTACGTAAAACCTAGTAGAAGGTAGACACTGTCTGGAATGAAGGAGAAATGCAGGTGTATTGATCCTAATTTTAACAATAATGAGTTTATTTCCTTCTCATACAAATCAAATGCATAAGCTCATCTTATTTCTCATTTACTGGAAATGAAGTAGCTGGGCAGCTATTTCACACTTCACCCGGAGATGGAGATGTTAGGATGGTGTTCACCTTGTAGTATGGCATGAGAAGAGTGCAAATAGCACAGTGTGGTTCCTTTTTTGCACAAGCTGCATTGTATTCTTTTTCAGCATTGAAGTTGGGTACTCTTGTCTGCCAAAGGTAGACCAGAGGCCTGGCCCATGTCTCTGTCTCTTGAACTTTCTCTTCAGTTAAGGTAGTCTCAGGCAGTTCTTAAAGAAAACAAACAATTCGTTACATTGTATTCCTGGAATGAAGAGAAGCAACAATGACTTTATCAAGTGTGCTAACAATGAAGATAAAACAATGATATAAGAAGTCTGTGTGTGAATACAAATGCAGAAGTCTAAAAGAATTATGCATCAAGACAAGCACCCAAAGAAGTGCTTTGACACCTGTGTCATTAGCTGACTGCTCCACACACAGCATAAGAAAGTATGCCGCTAGCTCTATTGTTTACCACTTGTATTCATATCCACAACATTATATCTCACTCTCCCGCTCCTTAATCCCTCCAACCTCTAACCCCTATCCCTCCCTTCACTCTGCCCTAAATTTCTTACGGATGGAACACGTTGCATCCCACCAAGCAGCACCAGACAAATCACTTTGGTACACACAGAATGCCACCTCTCAACTCTCCATGGAATCTCACACTCATTTTCCGAAGGGAAAAAAGAGACAAATGTTATAGCCAGGGAGTAATGGGGAACAATCAGATCTAAGATGTAGCTGGACATGCATGCTGGATCCCACTATGGGAAAAATTCTTTGGTATTATCAGTGGTCTCTTCTGCATGTTATAAAAGTTTGTTTTACTTAGCAGTGTTTCTGTGCAGGACTCCACAAAGCTGACTTTATGAAATTAAAAGCCTCTAGAGAAGCTGGAAAATAAAATCAGTCTGCAGCACAAAGAGAAACAGCTTATTCAACAGGAGTAATCTAAAAATGAGGTCATTTGCTATTGAGAGAGATGCGGAAAAGGGAAAGCTGTGAAAAGGAGACTGGGTGTAAAATCCTTGCCCCAGTGAAATCAATAGCATAATTATTAATGATCCAGTTGTTAACACCAGAATTTCAGCCCAGTCACATGTTTGAGCTGGTTGGAAACCTAAGGATATATTCACAGGCAACGACCTTGCCACCTGAGAAATACACAGATTATGAGGTCGGAAATGTCTTCTTGTTCTAGAAAGGAAAGCATTGCTGACAGGAGATGTTAAGTACCTTTTTCTGAATTGGGTCCTTATACACTTCTCTAATTAATGCTGAGGTCTGTAGTTCTGTTCATTGAAGTGGACAATGCTTATTAAATCTTTCATGATCAATGAGAAGGTGTCAATTAGAATAATTAAAATAATGTGAATGTGGGAAGGAAAATGTGGAAAGTTATTGAACAGAACTTTCAGATAACAAAAAAGGTCTACAGCATATGGTCCTTTTCTAACGATGTATTTAAGAAAAATTATTTATTTCAAAAGAAGAAAATTCCAAAACCAGAAATATTTAATGAAGTACATTAAGCTGAATCATCACTTTCCTTCAGCCCATGACCGCCTTCATCCACTTCATAAAAAAGTGGAGGCTTTATGGGTCTCCTCCTACGATAAACTGTAGCGCATTGCTACAAAAGCACTATAAAGTTGCTAGCATTTTTATCAGTGTTGAATAAAATATGGATTAAAATATTTGTCTAGAAGCAAGCCAAATGTAGCAAAAATAAATTAATGTACCCTGCATGGCAATTTTACTTCAATTTCTATAGTTTCCCAAGAGAACTAATATCAATTCAATAAACATTTGCCAACAATCCAGATAGAAGGATAAATACAAAACATCTGCAAAAAAGCTGTCACCAAGTAAATACTCAGCAGCAGAGCTTTATGGTGAACAACATAGCTGCAAAAGAATACCAGTGAGGAAACAGCTGAACACAAGGACAAGGTGAAAATATAAAATGCTAGTATCATACTTATAGCTGTCTGAATTACTCATCTTTTAAGTTAAAAGATTAACTAAGCTTTTATTTAAAAGCATTCTGTCCAATCTTATTTTTTCTACTGCTTGCAGTTTTCCAGAACTGTAAAATAAAAAGTTCTGAAATCTATGCCTCTAGTTCCATTTGTATCTACCTTTACAGAATGGTCTCACAAGTGGCTTCATCTTTGCTGCCTTATTTTCCAAGTTCTTTCTTGGCATTATTTTCTTTTAGGAGCTTATATTGCAAATATTTTAAATATTTTCATTATAGTTGTGACCTCCCAGAGAATTCAGGGTTTCATTGTGCCGTATGAAGAAAACTAAGAGGAACATCAAATTTATTGTGAAGGTTTGTAACTTACATCTTCCACATCTGTTTGCCACTTTGAAATTAACATCCTCATACTTCACCACTTCTCCTCACTGCTGAACAATTGTCCCATGAGGGTTGAAGTCTTCAAACTGAACATCACCCTATTATGCTGCTCCTTAGCCAAAACTCTATCTTTGGATTTCACAGAATCACAGAATGGTAGGGGTTGGAAGGGACCCCTGGGGATCATCTGATTCAACCCCCCTGCCAAAGCAGCTTCACCTAGAGCAGACTGCACAGGACCTCTTCCAGGCACGTTTTGAATATCTCCAGTGAAGCAGACTCCACAACCACTCCGGGCAGTATGTTCCAGGGCTCCATCACCCTCAGAATAAATAAGTTCTTCCTCATGTTCAGATGGAACTTCCTATGTTTCAATTTGTGCCCAGCCCCCCCCACCCTGCCACTGGGCACCACTGAAAAGAGTCTGGACACATCCTCTTGAAACCCACCTTATAAGGTCCTCTCTCAGCCTTCTCCAGGCTAAACAAGCCCAGCTCCCTCAGCCTTTCCTCATAGGACAGATGCTCCAGTCCCCTCATCATCCTCGTAGCCCTCTGCTGGACTCTCTCCAGTAGCTCCTCATCTTTCTTGAAGTGGGGAGCCCAGAACTGGACACAGTATTCCAGATGGGGCCTCACTGGGGCAGAGTAGAGGGGGAGGAGAACCTCCCTTGACCTGCTGGTCACAGTCTTTTTAATGTATCCCAGGATCCTCTAACTCTTTATCCAGGTTATCGATGAATAAGTGGAACAAGACTGGGCCCAGTACTGACCCCTGGGGGACACCACTAGCTACCGGCCTCCGACTAGACTCAGCGCCACTGATGACAACCCTGAGTTCTGCCATTCAGACAGTTCTCAATCCACCTTTCTGACCACGCATCTAGCCCACACTTCCTGAGCTTGCCTAGGAGAATGTTATGGGAGACCGTGTCGAAAGTCTTGCTGAAGTCAAGGTAGACCGACAACATCCACTGCTCTCCCCTCATCTAGCCCGCCAGTCATGCCATCATAGAAAGCCATCAGATCAGTCAAGTATGATTTCCCCTTGGTGAATCTATGTTGACTACTCCTGATAACCTTCTTTTCCTCCACTTGCTTAGTGCTGACCTCCAGAACGAGTTACTCCATCATCTTTCCCAGGACAGAGGTGAGGCTAAACGGGCTGTAGTTCCCTGGGTCCTCCTTCTTGCCCTTTCTGAAGACTGGAGTCACACTGGCTTTCCTCCAGTCCTCGGGCACCTCTCCTGTCCTCCAGATTTCCAGTCCTGGCATCAACTCTAGGATGATCGCTCTAGTTCTCTCACATAGTGCTCTGGTCTTCCACTGTCTCCATCACATTGCTGAGTTCATGACCATATCGGTTCTCATCTGTTTTGATAAGAACAAGAACAGTTCCCTTTTGTGTGATCTTTACAAATCCTTTCCAGACCAAGGGATTGAATAGAATGTAAGAGACAGGAATAAAGCTGGCAGGGCCCTTAGCACCTTTAGCTGCTTTCAAGAGCTTTGTATTTCTTTTCAAACCTCATTCCAAATGAAGCCGGGGACAAAGTGTCATATGCAGACGCACTGGACTTCATCTTCCACACCCTCCAAAAAATTTAACACTATTTTAATAAATTCATTTTCTCCTTTACATTATGGTTAGACCAACTACTTCCAGTTACGTATTGACTAGAAGCAAACGCTCCTCATTTGCCTCTGATCTCTAACATCTCTAATTATGCATTCTATCTCCTTTGAGATCTGACTGTCTTCTCAATGCTCCTTACTGCAGTCTCTTAGTCTCTTCGCACAAACTATGGGACCCAAGCTCTCTGATGTGATCCTCCTGCATACTACACCCTGCAACCTCTCATTCTTCTCTGCCATAATAAGCCCAGAAGCACAGTCAGGAAAGGAAAAATATCCTTCCTTTCAGAGGGCGACTAACTAATCCACTACTTCTTAAAGCAATGTTACACTAAAAGTATACAAAATTAAGAATAGTCGGAATGAACATTCTTAAGGGATATAAGCTTTGTCTGCTCCTCTGTTATCACTCCTGTATGGCTGTGACTTTTGGTTGTCTTCAAGAATTTCCTAGGCAACCTCGACTTAATTTATCATCTTTCAATATTAAAAAATAATAATAATAATAATTTTAATTTGTATCAGTGTCATTTCCCAGTGCTCAAGATCCGCAAAAACCATAGTGCAAGCATCAGTTCCCATAGTGAAAGTGATTCAAACGCTGCCCTCCAAAAATCACATATTTACTTTACAAGAGCAGTACATAAGGTTTCATCAAGCTCTACGAACACGGTGTTTCACTAAAAATCTCACCTATTGGCATTTTTCTGAAAGAAACTGAGAACATTGTCTCAGTTCTGGTAGAGTTAAGTTTTGATGAACAGTCACCAGTGCAATGCTGCCAACCAACACCACTTTACAATATGCACTCTACAAATTATTCAAACCTTCTTTGTGATACAGTGGCCTCGCTCCAAGAGCAGCTACCAACTGCCCAACACAAACAATCCAAAAGACTGAGGTCAGGCAATGCAGTGATATGAAACACAAAATCTGTCTATAGAGAGCATTTGCTTTGTGCAACAGGTGAAATGGAGCTGCGGAATCCATCTTGACTTCTGTGTGTGCTGAACTTGGATGAAATCACTGACATTTCCTCACAGTTCACTGCCCGCAAGTACATGATCAGGACTCTGTACAGGTGTGTAGCAGAATTCCTTGGTGAGAACTCTGATGTGCCATTTGCTTTTTTTCAGCTTTTCAGCATGAAACTTGCATTCCAATTTAAGAATTAATCAAGACAAAAGTGCACAATGCATTCTGATATTCTTTGGCAAAGAAA